TGAAGATGCTGCCATTAACATCAATGTATACTGTGAACAGTTTTAACTCCATAAGCCTGTTGCACAGCGTCTCCTCACTGCTCCAGGTCTGCACACGGCTCAGTGTTGTTGTGTAGCGTTAGCATCATAGTTAGCCGCTGTGTGGCTAATTCCTCAGTTTCTGTCTGCGGCTTGTTAAGCCCAAAAAATGCGCACGTATCTTGGAGTTGTGTCGGATCGACACCGGATGTATTCAGACCTGATTCGACTTGGACCAGAATTCGTTTGGAAGCGGACCGAGACCACCTCAAAAAGTGGGTCTCGGTTCGGTTCTTTGGTCCGGACCAGGATTCGTTTGTGTGTATTCAGACCTACATAAAAGATTCGGATCAGAGTTCCAAACGAATCCTGGTTCGTTTAAAGTGGAGCAAATGTGCAGGTCGGAATACACCCTTACTTTGTATCTGGTCGAGGCTCTTTCCTTTGAATTCCGTCACTCTTCCCTGCTCCATGGCCATCAACACTTTGCTGATTTTGGCCAGCTCCAGTGTCCCCTCTGGTAGTCTGTAATATTGTCTGTGGATGCGAATGTCATGGCCGAGGAAGTTGGCTAGTATGTCCATCTCATTCTCTTTCATATTGAGAACTGTAGACATAGTAGCTATGTGCTTTCTAAGTTTGGTTGAGGATAGCATCTCTGGATGCACCGCACCACATTCTTTGGCTACCTGCCGTAGGGAGTCTGATCCCCTGATGTGGGTGTCTGCGCCCGGGCGGGAGAAGAAGTATGGGTTAGAGATAGAGATGGTTAGAGATGGAACAGGCCCTTCTGTTCTCCACCAGCACCTCCATCCAAGCAATAATTTCAGGAGTCAACCGAACCGGCACTTTCCGACTTCTTTTCCCTTTAATTTCAATTCGTTAAAAATGCTGTCCAACAAAAAAATAGTCCAAAAGCAAAGTTTTACTTCTTAAAGTATACGCCGTCAGTGACATCTTTGAAACCTCACCTTCCCTTCTTCGATTGAAAATGATGACCTCACAAAGAGTCAAAACTGCCAGTTTAGACCAATGCTTAGACGTTGGCTCACTTATTAGGGTTTGCACATATTCAGGTCGACATACCTCAATATGTACATGCATGGCTCTAACGTCCTCAGTCAGAGGGAGCAGGTCCGGAGTGTTCCACTTGGCTTGCCGGAGGGTCTGTAGGGCAGCAGAAGAAACACAGACGTCCCACCTCTTCTCAAAAAGCAGCCGGCTTCGTTTTAGGTTTTTTATAAATGTATAGATTTGTTTCCTCATCATAGCCAGACACAGACCTGACTGCGTCAATCACATGGTTAAAGTTGGAAGGAATAAAGAAATCCTTAATCGTTTTCAGTTTCCCTGTTGTTTTTGCTTAATTGCTTTAATAACCTACTGACTTCTCTCATTTTCTGCCTAATGTAATCTTGCTTAGTCTTAACATGCCCACGTTTTAAGTACAGGTGCTCTCTGAGTCTCAGAATCCCTTGTTCTGTCGAGTTGGTCTGACCGTCGAGATGAGCTCCCTCAGCTGTTTATGATGACAAATGTCACTTTTAATGCAATTTGAGGCGAGATGTTGATGGTTCAGTGTTGTGATATGTGTGTTTTGAGAGTAAGAGTTTTGTGTAAAGTTTGTTTTAAGCAGTCCACTGCTCCTGTGAAACTACACTGCTACTGTTGTGATAGCAGTCCCCGAGTTGACTGCTGCATACGTCATTTTACTGGCGTAGGCCCATGACGCCTCCTGTAACTGGTCTGTCGAGTTGATAATGGACATAATAAATTAAATTTAAAGCATGTATCATACTGTATTCAATATGATTAACAATAGTGTGTTCGAACAAAATATTTAATTAGATGGAGTTTTTTCCCCATTCTGTCGGGTTTCTGTGCATTTGCAGATTTGGGTTACAGTTGCAGTGTAGTTTCACAGGAGTCAATATGACTGCTTAAAACAAACTTTACACAAAACTCTTTCTCTTAAAACCCACATATCACAAAACGGAACCATCAACATCTCGCCTCAAATTGCATTAAAAGTGACATTCGTGTCTTAATTCGTTCGTATTTTAACTTTTAAAGCAATTCGCGGACTTCATGTCCGCCATCTTGGTTTGCTTCGGCTGCCGTGAGACGCGCAGCGCAGGTTTGCATTACTTCATTAACAGCTGAGGGAGCTCATCTCGACAGAACAACGGCACCTGTGACCTCATCCTGATGCATTGCCCAAATTAAAGACCACAGCTTTTTGCTGATGCCCTCCGGTACAGGCTGGGCTAGGGAGCAGAGGGACTGGACCCTACTTCTACCTGGTTTAGCCTGGTTTAGCCTGGGCATCTTTCTGTGAAAGCCGGCACCTGGCCACATGCCTCCACAGCGACTTTCGCTTAAGCAATGCACCACAGTCTATACAGTGCAAAAACTCACTGGATTTAACTGGGGAATTTGGCTGTTTAGCTGGGACTAAAGTTCCAATGCCGGCCTTTAAAACCTTAAAATTGTGCTCACGGTTTCCACTATTCCTGATCAAATCAAACTGAAGTTTACGTGCTTTAGATTTCACAGGTAGAGCCACTGCAATTTGTAATCATAACCTGTTGTCAGCACTTACCAGTGGTTTGTAAGCGTGCGCTTCAGTGTGAACAGATACTACTGTTATATAAAGTCCATGGAACGTCTCTGAACACAGACACGCTGCAAAGCTGCATTATTGGAGAAGATCTGTACACAAGAAGCCGCTTGCTAAACTCTGTTAGCATCAGAGGCCCCCGGCTACTTCCGGCACTTCCGGCGCACGCCAGACTTCTGGTCTGAAGACCCCTGCATCTGAAAACTAGAGAATGTGTGTTTCAGCATTGCCGGTCTGAAAGCACCATTGAGCTTGGACCTGTGTGTTTTCAAGTGTGCGTCTCAGTGTTGTCAATCACACAATGTGTTTGGTATTTTGAATAGATGAATAGATGGAGAGCTTTGAATGTGAGAAGGAGGAGTTTAAACTGGATACTGTGGGTTCTGAAGAGCCGGTGGAGTTGGATGAGAACCGCAGTGTTGTGCGGTTTCCAACAGAAAAACTACATTTGGACAAACTGTGCTGTCGGTCAGAGGAGGTCAGTGTTGGAACAACCTTCCTACAGACATAAGAGAATAAGAGAATGCCCAACATAAAGCTCTTTTAAAAACCAACTAAAACACCGTTTTAAAGTAAATCAGTTCTGCACTCATTTCAACTAACTGTAATTTCTATAATTTTATATTGTCCTTTTGTATTATTATTGTTGTGTGACCTGCCTCAGGACTATGGATGTAAATTAGCAGTTTTGATCAGGAATCTTGATCCATTCTCAACAATTACCGGAGGGAGAATACTGCACTCTAGAGGTGTGGACCGATCACTGCACGTTATCTTTCTGGATACTTGCATCACAAGTTAAAGAACAGTAGGAACGAGAAGCACACAGCACGATAAATGAACAATACCTATACTAATTAAAATAAAATAAAATCTCTAAGTCCAGCATCAAAGAAAGATTTAAAGACAATTTATTTTTAATTGAAACTTGGATTGGACCTTTGATTATGCCCCCTGAGAGAACACCATAACTTTATGGCGTTCTTTAGGGGCGGTAGAGCTCAGTTGGTAGAGTGTTGGCCTTTGAACCAGAAGGTCATGGGTTCAAGACCCGCTCAAGACTTTCACCACCGACTCCCACTGACTTCTGTCGTTGTGTCCTTGGCAAGACACTTAACCTCTGGGAACACCAGCCTCAGTGGGGCGGCTGCGGCTGTAAAGTGCCAAACTGCTGTTGTGTCCTTAGGCAAGACACTTCACCCCCATTGCCTAGAATGAGTCTGGTGTGTGTATGAATGGTGGTGGTGGTCGGAGGGGCCGATGGCGCATACTGGTTGCCTCGCTTCTGTCAGTGTGCCCCAGGGCAGCTGTGGCTACAGTAGTAGTTTATCACCACCATGTATGGAGTGAATTAATAATGACACATGTGAAGCGTCTTTGAGTGTCCAAAAAAGTGCTATATAAAACCGATACATTATTATTATTATTATTTATTCCAACCTAAAAAAGGAGGTTTGGTGAACAGATGGTGATGCCATGGTCCTGGCATTGTTCACTCCTGAAGCAGCAAGGCCCCAGAAATGAGTCTACAAAATGCCGTTACTCTGAAAAACCTAATGTGTGAGAATTTTGATTTTACAATATGCAAACAATATGCTGACAATGGTCGCTGTAAGAAATGAAACCTCAGATAATCTTAAGCACTTTTGATAACCAAGGAACACACACAGACTGTACATATTCACAGACATAAAGAGTGCATTCAAAAGTCCACAGCGGCTAAACTAGACTGGTCCAAAAACTATACTCTCCTCAGCATTGACAGCATCTAAGCACCATGAGCTCCAGACTCTAAGGGGGTCCAAGGACAGGCTCAAAAACTCTTTTGTCCCCAACGCCGTCAGGCTCTATAACAAAGTCACTTCAGGGAGGAGCAGGGGGGAGGAGGTCTTGAGAACTGTCTTGCATTGCCTTTACTTCTCTCTTTTGACGATTTTAAAGTATTGTGGAAGACTAACCACACAGAGACGGGATCGTGGCACACCAGAGCTCATGGACGTTTATTCAGTTTCCTTCAGGTTTCAGTTTTTTCAGTTTTTTCAGACAGAACAATGTCAGGACATGGTTTATATAGTCATTGTTACGTCACAGATACGTCACATCCAGAGACAATCAGAACATTTAGAGTCATAACAAGGATACACAATGGGACCTTGTGACTGTGAGGGCCAGATATTTTGTCTTGCGCCTGTCCATCTGCATAGGCCATGGTTATCTATCCACCAAAGTATTTTATCATCATTTTTAATTGTGTTTTTATCTTTTAACTCTATCCTATGTTTGTATGTTTGTAAGATTGCGAGCAAGGTACCAATGCACAATGTCCTTTTGGATCAATAAAGTGTCTATCTATCTATCTGGAATGTCCCTGCTGTCTCAGTCCCTGCTGTCTCAGTCCCTGCTGTCTCAGTCCCTGCTGTCTCAGTCCCTGCTGTCTCTGTCCCTGCTGTCTCTGTCTCTGCTGTCTCAGTCCCTGCTGTCTCAGTCCCTGCTGTCTCTGTCTCTGCTGTCTCAGTCCCTGCTGTCTCTGTCCCTGCTGTCTCAGTCTCTGCTGCCTCAGTCTCTGCTGTCTCAGTCTCTGCTGTCTCTGTCCCTGCTGTCTCAGTCTCTGCTGTCTCTGTCCCTGCTGTCTCTGTCTCAATCTCTGCTGTCTCAGTCC